GCAACACGTTGGCTGGTGACTGTTTGACTATGAGACAAATTTTTGCAGCTGGCTGAATACGCTAAATGCCAAACTGGCAAACTACATAGTTATAGAGAGGGAAGTCGGCGCGCGAGAAAAAAAATGCCTCGTTGAGCGTATTGAGGTCACCCATAGATTCATTTGCCCCCGAAATAAAATTTATAATAAAAATGAGAACTGTAAGAAGAAGTAAAGCAATAGAAAAATAATATAATTGAAGCAACAGTAGCAGCACCAGTCGTAATATTTGAAAAGTGAAAAACAATGTAAAGTACTCGATCAAAATCGTGGGGGAGAAAAATAGACAGACCAGAGCACAAGCAACAGTGCATTTCTGTATGACCTACATGCCAATCGTGCCCCAATTAGTTACTTCATAGTTTTTTTTTGCGCGCATAGATTTTGCTGTTGCATAATTTTTTTTGTGAATGACTCAAGTTACCTTGTAACACTTTGTAAGCCATTTCTGTATGTATATTTATTTTTCTTATAGTCTATGACTATGAAACTAAAACTCCAATTTTTTTTTTATTTGCACAATTTCGATTGATTAAACTGCCAAGAAAATATAACTCTTTGAAAACGTGTGCATAGGAACGTAATGAATTTTTTGAATTTATTTTGATTGGTTTCTGGGTTTGTACTTTTTTGTGTCTGTAAGGGATGTTGAAGGCATTTAATTGGTTTGTAACGTTTTTTTTTGAATTTTTGCATCAATTAAATGAATTTTGTCGTTTGCATCTTTATTGGATCTTAACGAATTTTTTGAATTTTCGCGTCTTCCAAACAACTTTTTTGAAATTTTTGCATCTTTTAAATTTTTTTTTGAACTTGTTAAATTTTTGCATCTTTTAACGAACTTTTTGAATATTTTTACATCGTTTAAGAACCTTTTTGGACTTTTGCCTCTTTTAACGAACGTTTTGAATTTTTTCAAATTATTTCGCATAATTCTACATCAACTTAAAATCTCATTCCTTATCCTTCACCTCATTTCAATCTTCAATTGCTTGAAAAAAAATTAACCTAACGGAATCTGTCAGTCTCATGCAGAATTACAGCAACAATGTTCAATTCCTTTTACTCAAAAGATTTTTATTTATTTATATGCTGTTCGCCAAAGTTAAACTAAGAAAGAACAAGTCGATACACGATTGAAACTTGATTTTCAAGAAAAAAAAAATTAATGTGAATAATATAACATATTGAAAAATAGCAATAGAAGCAACAAATCCGCAACAACAGCATTCGCCACAAGTTTTTTTTTTATTTTGAGGGTAAATCAGCTTAAGTAGGTCATGACTGTAATGTTTCCATTTCATGTACTTGCTTCATGTTATGACACATTTTTCCCTTTCTTTGAACTAGTCACTCTTTTTTACCTAACGTCTACATTACATACTCATGCGATGATGTTTGAAGTTCATTTCTTCTTCTTACTGGATGTCGATCTAATGCGTGATTGCGTGTTTTACGTCGCCCCACGATCATCGTTTTCATTGAGCAAAAAGTTCTCGAGAAAAGAAAATTTTTCATTGGAATTTTTACGCACATTTTTCGTCGACACCGAGTAAGGAACAAGAAGAGAAAGGCAAGGTTTAAGTGTAAATGATGAATATATTTTGTGCGTAAAATTGCGTATGTCTCGTGGCAAGGGCGCAAACTCAAAAAGTTCTTCATTTTCTGTAATAAAAGCTACCCCACACTCCAAAAAAAAGTTTCTCAGAACGTGCCGATTGATGTTTTTGTTTACAACGTAGTCGGAGGCCTTAGTTCGTATGAAATTGACGATGATGCTAATTTTTAACGAAAAGAAGAAGCATCCAAGCCCCGGCAAAGCGTAATTTTTTTGTGAATTTCCAATAAAAACAAGCCTCTGAAATGAAATTCAATACTAAAGTGCTGTTTATTGATTCTAATTATGACGATTTGTTTGCTACTTCCATACATTTTTTGCCTTGCAATGCTTGTTGACAATTTTTTTTCTCATCTCATGTGATCGAAGCAACTCAATGCTGCTACCGTATATGACGATGACGTTCTGAACTCATTGAGAAATAATAAAACAACCTAAATAAATACATATGGCGAGCTCAATGACACCCCTCCGTCATAGCTAGGTCTCAATTAATACAATGTCTACGATGAGGGTAGCTTTGTTAATGACGTCTAGAAATAAAGAGTCGGTGACTCTGGCATGGACTCAAATCTAATCTAGCACCATGACAGAGTAACGCCAGCTTTGTGCTAGATTTCTATTCGATAAACCGACTTGTGCTTTTCAGGAAAGGCTGTAATTTATGAACAACCCTTAATATGACAAACGATAATTTCTCTAGTCACAACAGAGCTCATCTCAATTGCAATTACCGTGAAGTTACTTAAACGCACACAAATTTAAATAGTCAGCTAGATACAAAGATAGAACTAGCTTTAATTAAACAGAAAATAAACAGTTTGCCAAGCTCGAATGAGAAAAAAAAAATTCCACTTCAATGTCATTTTCATCTCTCTCGCCATTGCCCACTATTACACACGCCGGTCAGCAATGATCCACAAAAAAAAATAACTTTAATTTACATATTCTATATTTGAAAAAATTTATGTATAAACAGTATTGTATGTTGGGTGGATTAAAGGGCGATTTTACAACAGCGAATCTTATGTGTGTATATAAGCCACATATAGCATATGTTGTAATGTAATGTAGGCGATCAGTTTTTATAAGTCGTGACGTAAGCTATCAAACAGAACTTTTAAGTGTGGAACTGTTCAGTTTTTTTTTTTCAGACACTGTTTACTGATAAAAATGTCTATTTTGTCAGCTCAAGTGATCGGTGGTTAGCGGTTTTGTGTGTGATAGCAATGCTCGGTGTGAATCTGGTTTCGATTTGGTTGGGGAATGTGGAAATTCTTGAAAGATTTAGATTTTGTGAGAATAAGAGTTTTGGTTTTTAACGGGATTTGAGAATTTGAATTTTTTGGGCTGATTTTGTTCAAGTTTTTGAAAGACGGTAAATTTTTAATTTTTAAAGCCGTTAAATTTTGAATGTTTCAGAACCGTTAGAATTTAAATTTTGGAAAGTCATTAGTATTCAAATTTTTGAAACCTTTTGAGATTCAAATTTATAATAGTCGTTAAAATTCAAAATCTTAAAAGGCAAAATAAAACTTGATAATTTTAAGAATTCAAGCTAAAATATCCCCACAACATCATAATCTCAATCCCTTACAACTGAAAGTCTCAATTAATCTTACAAATAATTAACAAAATATCCAAAAATCCTACTCAAAAATCCATTCATACCCACAATATTGTAATAAATCATTCAGCTAATTTTACATCAGCCGCAGTCGCCCTATCATGTCAAAATAAAGCTTCTTCTTCTTCACATGTCTACATACCACCTCATATACTAGAATTATATGTAGGATACATAATGTACGAAAAAAATATTAAGTAAACATAACCAGCAAATAGCACACATTCAAATTGGGTAAGGTAATGTCATTGAAAATGAATTAGCCGAAAAGAAATCTTCAAGATGATCATCATAACTCTTTACTACACATGAAAATTTTTCATCATACATTAGAATGGAATAGCCTTGGAGTAGACTGTGAGACGATTACATACGCACATACAAATACACAAAAAAAAATTGATTGTCGGATTTCGAGGCCAAATTTTTGTGCGACATTTTCAAATTATTTTTTTTTCTTCTTTCTTGTCATGAAACTTTTTATTTTGCGTACAAAGGTTTTGCCTCGGGGGCACTTTATAGACTTAATTGCACATAATCTCCACGAATCGAAAAAAATTGATTTCCTATAAATTCGTTGCTGTATAGGCAATGAAATGTAGATAAAATGATATAGATAAATAGCTTCATATAATAAATAGTAGGAACATAACATAACTTCCGCGTTGAATACATGCACATTCTCTACGAGCCGTATCGAGTCTGATTTCAATTAAGTGAGCAAGTCGAGTAGGGGGAGAAGCATAACTCGCGGTCTCACATTGTGTGTGTGTGTGTGTATAAATGCACAAAAAATGCCTAAACGTGCGTGTGTTAAGCATTTAAAGACTTTCAAGGAAAACTCATCGTCAAGAGCGCGTGTATTTTCCTTGTAGATATTTTTTTGCGTAGATTCTCGATGCGTACACGAAGCTTTTATTTTTTCATAAGCTTTTTTATTTCAAGGCTATCCTTCCGACCAAAAAAAAATGATTCTTTGTGCATATACATCGTAGAAGTTTTTCCACAGGACTTTATCACTGTGTGTCGGCGTTTCATTTTTGTTTTCATTGAAGCCTGATTATTGAGGCCATCATCGTCACACAGAGACGAAATAATATAAACTATAACACAGAAATAAATACACAACTGGTGACGGATTTAGCACATTTTGCTTGATGCTTGTTACCGACGAGGAGAGAGGCTCTTACAATTAAAATGTGTAAAAATAAAATTTGCACAAATGCACAAAAAGAAGCTGCATCACTTGATGAGCTGTATACTCGATATAAAATATTTTTTTCATCTCTGTTTTACTTTTTTTTCATGATGTGTGATTGTGTGTTGGCCCTAGGAATATGATTCCATGATATTTTGGGGGGTCTTACTGAATTTTGAGGTCTATTGGGTGTCTTTTGAGCTCCTGGATTGCCACGGAGGTCCAGATATCTCCTCTTATCTTAAAAAATTGACATTATGATTGAGAAGCTTCATATAGTCTCAACTATTCAAGACTGGAGATGATCTGGAGCCTAATGACTTCTCAGAATCTTCAAAATCCAGATTTTCAGTTAACATCATTTATGAATGACCCCAAAAAGACTCCATAAGTGACCGAAAATTGTCAAAATACTTTAATCCAAATAAAAGCCTCTAGTGACCCCAGGAAGCCCCAAAAAAATACATACAACCCCCGGGCCAACCAAAAAAACTATCAAAATGCTCAAGAACACTCACCTCATTAGGCGAAGCAGACTGTATTTGAATTGTCACTTCATCCATTGTGACATCGTGCTCAACAATTATGCCACAAGTTTCACGTCCATTATTTGTGATATAAACCTTTTGACCCGGCTTAAGTTTAACATCAGTTATATTGCCGAAGCCATCACCAATCAATTCTGATGAGCTGAACTCGTACAATGCACGCCTAGTTGGTATAAAGACAGGATTTGGATCAAATCGAACTGAATAGCGTGTGTTTGGTGTGAGATTGATGCAATTTTGATTGTCTCGTGGTGAATCTGGTGTTTTAACGGCATGAATGCGACCTGGATAAAAAAGGCCATCGTCTGGCGAGAGAGCACATACTCGCATACCTATGATGGACCTTTTGGCCAAACGCTTACCGGTTGACATTTTGTTTAAGAAATATTTTTTCATTTAAGCAACGATTTAATTTTTTTTTGACAGTTGTTGAAATTTTATTTTAAAAATTCACGATTTTTTTAATGTTTTTCACTTATAATTTTTACAGTCTTTGCCTTTTTTTATATTTTATTTATTATTTATACAGTCTCTGTTCACTTTTATAATTTTTGTAATAATATTTTTTAATTTAGTCTCTTTTTTTCACAATTTTACAGTTGTTCTATATTCACATAAATTCCTGGTCTCTATTGTCCACAATTTTGTAAACTTGACTAAGCTCTAACACTGATTCTATAAATTTGAAATTTTCCACTAGTTCACTATGATCAGTTCTCTGCTCACCTTCGCATAATTTTATTGTAGATTTTTTAATATAACACAACATAATTCCAAGTTATTTGTTATATCCAGTTCCGATGAAATTTTGATAACGAAAAAAATTGTTTTATTTCGTATCAAAATTTACTTTGCTGTTTTTTTTTCCTTCACCGGCTTTACAAATTTATTTTTGTATTTTATTTTTTTTACGCAAAAACGCTAACAGAGCTTTCACAATTGATTTTTTATGCTTCCTTCTTTTTTTACGAATGTGCGTATATTGAAGAAAACAGAGAAAAAAAAGTTTTCTAATTTTTTTTTGCTTTAAATTTTCTCGATTTCAAAAAATTTTCAACTTTCAATTTTTAAATTTACCTTTCAACTTTTCAGTAAATTTGCTTCCTTTTAACTTTGAGCTTTTATTTTATAATATTCCCTTCGACTCTCAGCTTGTGAGAAATGTGTGTTACACCTTCAGAATGAATTTTTCAACTGCTGAACGATCGAAACGATAACTTTGAATGAAGTGAGGAAAACACAGAGAAATGAATTTTTTTGAGAAAACATTGGATATGCGCTAAACATTCATACAATTACAAAGCATTGTCGGCAAAACATTAAATACATTCACAGCAGCTATATATACCGGCTTAATACATTCAAACAAGAAATTCCCTTCGCAATTTTCCGACAAAATTATTTTTTTTTTTCGAGTATGAGGGAACGTAAATCAACAAATTGCGAGGTTGAGGATGGAAAATCCTTCAGAAATAAAAATTACGCTTTATATCAAAAAATAAATATATTAAAAATTCAGAGCACATAGATGTATTACACACACACAGATACATGACACACTAACATATTCTCGGCTCAGCTGATTGAGTTTGATGTTGAAAAATGTAAATATTTTGATTAAATAACTCTCAGCAGTTCTCCTTCTTCTTCTTTTTCTCTACTGCTGCTGCTGTTGCGACTTACTTTATTCTAATTATTATTAATGGAACCTGTAATTAATTTAATTATGTTTTGAAATTTGATATTGGAAATTTTTAACAATTTTTTAAAAACATTTGTTGCGCATTAGTGTGCGGTTTTTTGGTATGCTTTGTCTTGTTGGGGATGAAAAAAAATGTTGGAGTTTCAATTATGATTTATTATGGGCACCATTTTATTTATTCTGTACTATTTTTTTTAAAACAAAAAATTAATTAAGGAGTATGAAATCATCATACTCATAAGGAGCTATATATAGTTGAATCTCTGAATATCAGGGATGCTAATAATGACCATGAGTACAGAGAGTAGTGAGAGCAAGCCTAATGCAACTCTTATGCAACTTTAGTGCAACCTTAGTACAACCCTAGTGCAACCTTACTGCAACTGTAGTACAACCCTAGTGCAACCTTACTGCAACTGTAGTACAACCCTAGTGCAACCCTAACGCAACCTTATTACAACTTTAGCGCAATCCTAGTGCAACCTTATCACAACCTTACTGCAACCCTAGTGCAACCCTAGTGCAACCTTACTGCAACTGTAGTACAACCCTAGTGCAACCTTACTGCAACTGTAGTACAACCCTAGTGCAACCCTAACGCAACCTTATTACAACTTTAGTACAACCCAAGTGCAATCCTAGTGCAACTCTAACGCAACCTTAGTACAACCCTAGTGCAATCTTACTGCAACTGTAGTACAACCCTAGTGCAACTCTAACGCAACCTTATTACAACTTTAGTACAACCCTAGTGCAATCCTAGTGCAACCTTATCACAACCTTACTGCAACCCTAGTGCAACCCTAGTGCAACCTTACTGCAACTGTAGTACAACCCTAGTGCAACCTTACTGCAACTGTAGTACAACCCTAGTGCAACCCTAACGCAACCTTATTACAACTTTAGTACAACCCAAGTGCAATCCTAGTGCAACTCTAACGCAACCTTAGGACAACCCTAGTGCAATCTTACTGCAACCTTAGTACGACCCTAGTGCAACCCTAACGCAACCTTATTACAACTTTAGTACAACCCTAGTGCAATCCTAGTGCAACTCTAACGCAACCTTAGTACAACTCTAGTGCAAACTTACTGCAACTGTAGTACAACCCTAGTGCAACCCTAACGCAACCTTATTACAACTTTAGTACAACCCTAGTGCAATCCTAGTGCAACCTTATCACAACCTTACTGCAACTCTAGTGCAACCCTAGTGCAACCCTAGTGCAACTCTAGTGCAACCCTAGTGCAACCCTTTCGCAACATTACTGCAACTCTAGTGCAAGCCTCGAATAAACACTGGGATATACCTATAAGAAGTAAGATAAGAAGTAAGTGTGCAGCAAGATTAGGAGTTTGTTAATTTCTGGAAAAGCTGGTGTCAAGGTTGTCTAGATCTTCTTTTCAAAGAACCAGTTAATAGTGCAATCTAAGAGATGCTATGCATCACAATTGATCAATACGGTCAGCGAAATAGTTGAGTAGGTAATTAACATGCAAGAAGAAGTTTGACCCAACTTAGTTTAACTTTGAAGAGTGAAAAGGAATACCCCCCAAAAAAATCCACTATTCATTCCTTTAAAACCCCATAAACACACCCTTGACACACCCATTTCCTTACCAATAAACATTTTCATTCATAAAAAAATTTCCTACAATCTTACAATGACATCTATCACCAACTAAAGACTGACCCTGATTCACCATTTTTGCCTAATCATATTCAAATGCCTTCACAACTCAGAGACAACTTTTTTATCTTAATTTATTCAATATTTGTAAACAAATCTTTTTGTTTACGTTTTTTTGCAAAAAAAATTTTTGCTATCATCATTCAGCTTAATTTGAGGCATATTGTAAATACGACGCTGTTGCTTCAACGTAAACAAGTTAGGAGATGCGTCATTGTCGTTGAATTTCAACTTTTGTGAATGAGATTTCGTCATTTTAAGCTTGATAAGGAATTCTAGGAAAATAGGAGAATGTTAATCAAAAAAAAGTGTTGTCAATAACAGCGTTAAGGAAGTGGAAATTAATGGAATTTATTGCATTGTTTACTTTAATGACTTAGCGAAATTAAAGTTTCAGATTAAGTTGTATCGAACCTTTTGTAGAAGATTCTGTTAAAAGGAGATGTTGCCTTTTGGTTCAGCAACAGGCTCGCAACTTTGAATTGTGCTTTTTATGAAGAAGTAGGTTCGATTCCTAAAAGAAAATCGATTGTTCTAATCAAAAGGTTCGTTTAAAGGGTCCAAAATTAAATGCTGACCATACTATATCAATTGTGACTTTATAGAGTCTTTTCAATCAGTCCTAGGGTAAGTTCCTATTGCTATCTTGGGTACCCTTGATTAGAATCGAAACTCAGCCTTAACTGTGATCAGAGTAATTTACTCTATAGAGTAAGAGGAACCGGCTACGAAGAATATCATGATTGACAAATTAGAAGATAATGAATGCTTTAGGGCTTCAACTTTGTACACCAAACCCGGTTTTAAAGCTTAAACTTTAGGAATCAAACCTCAACAGAAACAGCTAGTTTGTGGATTGTGCTTAAAAACCTTTCAAAAAGCCCCATCAAGATTTCATAGCACAACCGGCAAAAATGCACTTAAGTCATCAATTTTATACCTTTTTAATATTTCTTCATCCAAAAAAAAAAAGTAGGGAAATGACGCATTAATGCTGACAATGAAACAATTTTCGGACCGAAAACAAAAAATATTGAAATAAATGAAGAAGAGCTAGTCATCAACATGCGACAAATAGACACAAAAAATTAAATTTTGTTGTTAAAAAAACACATCGCGATGTAACAAAATTGCTACTCAGCACGACAACATCAAGCAAGCAGTTGAAAGAAAAAAATAAGCAACTGAGAAATTACGAAATGTTGGTATATAAAGTGAAAGTTGTTTTAAAACCAGCAACAACAAAAAAAAAATATTAAGTTTAATAGCATTAAACTAGCTTTTTCTTAAGCATAAAACTGCCTCTCTCGGATTCGAGTTGGAGTTTCTAATTTCTTGTATCAAACAAAACTAGCCACATTGTAGCATACACATACCTGCTTTCGTGCCATCAAGTTTGTAGCCAGATTTTGTTTTTCCCTTTTTACTTCCACTTTGCATTACTTTTTTTGTGTAATAACCATTTTGGGGATCGTTCGGAAGTGATGTCTATCAACATTTGGGAGTTTATGGACTCCCCTGAACTTCCTAATTGTACAATTCTCTATGATGCTAGTCATATTAACTTAATAGAGTCCCCAAATTCATAAGACGTCACTTGACACTCCCCAATAACCAGTTTCTATTAATTACATCCAAGTCTCAAAATGTTGACTAAAAAAGAAGAAAAGTAACAATTTTTTGAAGGTTTTAAGCTCTAATTTGTTAATTATATTCAATTGTGTGCTGCTAATTTTTCTACCTAATAATTGTTGCCTTCCTCAACACTTCCACCTTTTTTTTCGTGACGTTGTTTTGATTTTTCTCGATGATTAGCTCTAGTCGAGTGGCTTTTGTCAAGAAAATTTTAATTAGTTGAACAAATTCGAGTCTCATTTATTGTCAATTTTGGATAGAATTAGACACGAAAATGTAGGATTTAATTCTCGTGATGAAGTAATTGAGTTTCTGTTTCTTTGACCTATTTAATGTATCCAGAAAATGTCTGTGAGCTCATTCTTTTGTACTGTGGATGCTTGGGGCTTTGGAAATTCTGGTTTTTGTAGTTTTTTTGTGCTTTGCAATGTTGATGGCAGGTTGATTAATCTATGCTTGAAGTTTGGAAGTTGTTGGCCTTATTGTGTCTATTTTTAAATATAGAATTTGAGTAGGAAGAAGAAATTGGAATGTTCGACAGTTCTGGAGGGTATGCAATGGTTTATTGGAATCTATTAATGCAATTCTAGTTATTTAATAAAAATTTGAAAATCATTTGAAATTCTTGTAACTGTTAAAATTTGAATTTCTTGTAACCGTTAAAACTTGAATTTTCATAAACCGTTCAGTGCAACTTCAGTTAAGCACAACAAACTCTACCAAACGTGAATCTCTTTATTCTATAAACCTTCAAAACAATCAATTTACCATTCGTTCCACAAGCATCTCGAACATCATCCATCGTCCACAACGATGCGTAAATTCGTTTATGATTCTGACGCGTGTTTCCGATACTCCAGCAAATTTCTCATTACGATTCAGTCCTACATTCTTAGAAAAGTATGCCACACGAAAAATCTTGAGCTGTCAACTTTTAAGTTCAAGGATTTAGAACATGAAGAGAGACAATTCAGCCTCAAACCCACTCCACATTCAATTTTTGTGACGACTTTCATACAAAATTGTACCTGACCTGCGCAAATCGACCTATAAAATACATCACATTTCGTCATCAAAGAGCATCTTTTTCAATATCTCACTGATGAAATTTCCTACGTAAATTGAATCACTGCATTAAAAGTTAACTGATAATGAAAGCAAAGTGGGGTATTTCCTCTAGATGTATTGTATTACAATGTTGATAAGAGGCCACACGTGCTGGTTATTTTGATGACTAGTGCAACTTTTTTTTATGTCGATATTTGATAGGTTTACGGAAAGTGCTGTAAAAAACATTGAAAAATAAGCAAAAAATTATTCATGGAAATGTGGATGAAATGTATTATTTTGAATTTGAGCTAGAATTACGGCAAAAATATTAAGCTATGATGTATTTTTGTGCTGTTTTGATTGAGATGGTTTAAGCTTTAAGTGAAATGATCTGACCAAGTCAAGGAAGGGGTTAGATGTCGGTTCTTAGGTTTATCCTATGTTATGGCTAGGATACTCAAGCTATAGAGTAAAAATGTGCTCCAGGGTAACTTCAATTAACTGTGCTTGGATTCTCTATTGAAGCTACCATTTTATAGCTTTAAAGATGACGATCATACCCTTTTCTATCCTTGTTTTAGCTCTAGTATGGTCATTTTGAAGTATAATCTGCACTATTCAAGAGGATATTCCAGCGGAACCCATTAATCGCATCTTTAATCATCTCAGGATCTAGTACAACATCAAAAGACCTCATAAATCATATTCTCAACATCAAAACCAATAAAATTATCATTTTCCATGTGTCAACAACAAATTAACTGCCACTAGTAAGCTTCCGCTTTATTTTTAACTGCCGCATGCATTAGTTCTTGGAACTTTGTTGTTTTCCTTAATGGAATATGACTTTTTACAGTTTGAGATACTTGGCACGAGGTGATGAAGCCTTGCAACTCTCCACATGCCACAGCTTAGATTAAAAATATCATTTACTTGACTGTTAAGCACCAAACGAGCTGTTAGAACTTATCCAAATGCACTTTGTATTATTCATGTGACAATTTTAACTGCGCCTAGAATTGGATCATTAATGAATAATTATAGAGAATTTCAGCATTATAGAAACTTTCCATTGCACTCGATCTCTACAAATGTAATGAAATGCAAAATTAGCACAGTGCTATTTGGCACTAAATTAATAATTTCTCGTGCAACAATGTAAAGCCTGTGCATGTGGAAATAATTTTTTGTTTACAACAAAAAAAAATCGTGAGCATTAAAAAATCGCGGAACCAAAACTTTTCACTTTAAAATATTCAGAACAGTCTTAATTGGCGTGTGCGGGATTCCCTGCTAAATTTTTTTATGAATATTACTTTTGGAAATGAATCTATGAATGAATTGAGTGGAATTGAGCATTGATCGAAGAGCTTTAGGAAGTAAGAAATTGAAAATGATTTATAGTTTTGCTGATTGATATGTTATGATTGGAAAAATTAATTGAGAACTAATTGAATTGAAAAAAAGTGGAGGTGGACTTGCTGCTTTTAATGTAAACAACTTTGTTACAGATGAAGGAACTAGAATAATGAACTTCTGTAGAAATATGTGATCAATTTTAGTAAACAAAAAAGATTTTAAAGTTTAAAAGACTTAACTTACAGCTTTTAGGTGACAGAATGTCTAATAACTTAAATACGCATCGCAAATTAGAATCTAAAGATAGCTTTTCAAGGTTTGAGTTCTATGAAACCTCGAAAACCGCTAAAAATGCTCTTATTCGATTTAAATCACAATCGGTTCCACCTCCCAGATTGTTTGAATAAGAATTTAAAATATTGATGCATGTGACCAATTTCTTTGGAATAATGAAACGTGAATTCAATCATAAACAATTCTCATCTGTTCATTCCTTCTAAAAACAAATTGTCTTTGTTATTCAGTTCTTAAAATGAAAACTGTTGTTTTATATCGAAATGTAAATTGTCATGCTTATTTGTTGACTTTCGTCAAAGAATAGTCACAAGTTCAAGTTGCTTTAGTGGTAATTTACACAGCTTGAAGCTTAATTACAGTTCATCATATGTTTTGAGGTGGTCTTGAAGATCTTAGAATCTACTTAAATTTTATAATTTACATTGGAAATCCCAATTTAAAATAATAGAAACTTTTGTCGGTAAAATGTTCAATCAATTTTGGATGTTTCCATGTTAGAAATCATGGTGCCATCTTTAAAAGCATTGCAATTTAAATCAGCAATTTTTAAACGAAAGCTAGCAAAAGATCCAGTTTAAGATAAGAGATGTTATGATTGGAAATTGATCTTTGCATTAAAAACTTATTTACAGGCAAGTACTTTAGTGCTTAATAAGTTATGATGATCATCTCTCGACACAGAATCCTTGAATCTTGATAATATGAATATGAATCGATAACCAATAGTTTGAGCATCAAAAGAAATTCATCGCAGTTATCATTGAATTGTTGTTAAAATTTATTAATTTTCGTTGTAATTTTGTGATCATTAAATTCAGTGCATCATTTGGAAGAACCATGAAGAAAATTGAAGGAGACATTCTGAGCAAAGAGGAGCTGAAGGATCTAGTCAAAGTTATCAAATACGAGAAAGTGGATTCAATTCTTACCAAAGGAAGAAATCAAATTACAATGAGCAGAATATTGCAAATCGACTGTTCCAGTGCTTCAATCGAGATTAATTAAAGATTGGAAACTTTAATTTGCGAGAAATTCCACAAATCGTCAATTACCATCATCCTTTACACATATTAATCAACAATCAATTTATTGAATTTACATCAATGATTCTATGCATGATTCATAATCCTGTAATTGTTGGTATTAAGTTACAAATAATTCATTTTAATTGAATTAGTTTAAATCAGTTCTAAGAAAAGCTCATATGTAGATCAAGGATAAGGTGAAATATGCAAATTGTCGTTTACATGACAAGACAAAGGTGCTGTCAATAATAAGATGAAGTTAAATTGGCTGTAGAATTCATAGATGCAAGTCAAATATGGAATGAATCAAAAAAGGATGCAATTGAGTTTATTACTTTGTACAGGTGAATTTCTCAAAAATATTGACGATGTCATCAAGCTATGATTGTTTATCAAGAAGCTAAAGGATACATTCGATAAAAGTAAGTGTAATTTTATTTAAATTTGGTTCCTTCATAGCAACATCCCTGTCCAGAAAACATTAATTACCAAATTAAACCACAAATTCAGTAGCAATTTACCCAACACACCTTGCAAATCAACACATATCATAATTCGACCATTGTATCAATTATGACACATACCATAAACCCCTATACCCAACTAGTGTATCGGGTAGAAACCCAATGCGGATATATTCACACCGTACCATCAAAAGTCTTATGGATAGACCAAGATTTGCTTAGCATAAGTTTGTATAAAGTATAAAGCTTGTGAATCAGCTCAGCTTCGCTCAGCATAAGTTTGAATGAATAAAGCAAAATGTAAATTGTCATGCTTTTGTTGACTTGCATCAAAGAAAAGTCACAAGTTCAAGTTGCTTTAGTGGTAATTTACACAGTTTGAAGCTTAATTACAGTTCATCATATGTTTTGAGGTGGTCTTGGAGATCTTAGAATCTACTTAAATTTTATAATTTACATTGGAAATCCCAATTTAAAATAATAGAAACTTTTGTCGGTAAAATGTTCAATCAATTTTGGATGTTTCCATGTTAGAAATCATGGTGCCATCTTTAAAAGCATTGCAATTTAAATCAGCAATTTATAAACGAAAGCTAGCAAAAGATCCAGTTTAAGATAAGAGATGTTATGATTGGAAATTGATCTTTGCATTAAAAAACTTATTTACAGGCAAGTACTTTAGTGCTTAATAAGTTATGATGATCATCTCTCGACACAGAATCCTTGAATCTTGATAATATGAATATGAATTGATAACCAACAGTTTGAGCATCAAAAGAAATTCATCGCAGTTATCATTGAATTGTTGTTAAAATTTATTAATTTTCGTTGTAATTTTGTGATCATTAAATTCGGTGCATCATTTGGAAGAACCATGAAGAAAATTGAAGGAGATATTCTGAGCAAAGAGGAGCTGAAGGATCTAGTCAAAGTTATCAAATACGAGAAAGTGGATTCAATTCTCACCAAAGGAAGAAATCAAATTTCAAGAAGCAGAATATTGCAAATCGACTGTTCCAGTGCTTCAATCGAGATTAATTAAAGATTGGAAACTTTAATTTGCGAGAAATTCCACAAATCGTCAATTACCATCATCCTTCACACATATTAATCAACAATCAATTTATTGAATTTACATCAATGATTCTATGCATGATTCATAATCCTGTAATTATTGGCATTAAGTTACAAATAATTCATTTTAATTGAATTAGTTTAAATCAGTTATAAGAAAAGCTCATATGTAGATCAAGGATAAGGTGAAATATGCAAATTGTCGTTTACATGACAAGACAGAGGTGCTGTCAATAATAAGATGAAGTTAAATTGGCTGCAGAATTCATAGATGCAAGTCAAATATGGAATGAATCAAAAAAGGATGCAATTGAGTTTATTACTTTGTACAGGAGAATTTCCCAAAAATATTGACGATGTCATCAAGCTATCATTGTTTATCAAGAAGCTAAAGGATACATTCGATAAAAGTAAGTGTAATTTTATTTAAATTTGGTTCCTTCATAGCAACATCCCTGTCCAGAAAACATTAATTAACAACTTAAACCACAAATTCAGTAGCAATCTACCCAACACACCTTGCTAATCAACACATGTCATAATTCGACCATTGTATCAATTATGACACATACCATAAACCCCCATACCCAAAATAACAAATATCTCGCAAGAATGCGAAAATAAACTAGTTACATTCTAAATAGACACACGAAAAATCAAAAATTGGGTCATTTAAAATTCAAAACTGTCTACACATGAAGTGGATAGGCGAAAATGAAACGTAAGAAAAATTAAATAAAAGTTTAAAAGAAAAAAAATCAATTACACAGTAAATAGTTGGTAAATAGTCACTCAACGTAATTTAAAAAGAATTCGATTTTATTTTACCTTGGAAATTCTTCGATATTTTTTCATCGACACGCTCACACACACCCACAATTCACCTATATTTTAAAATATTTCTTGTTCTTATTCTTATTTTATATTTTGTATACAAATGCCGTCCTTCTAAAATGCTCTGAATTTTAAAGAATGAAAATCAATGATAACTGAATCTAGGTGCCACCACATCAAGGGGTTAGTAAAATACATAGACCAAATGATACATAATATAGACTCCCATCCACATGCTATTCGAGCTTGTTTTGTTACTTACTCGTGCCTTGCTGAATTAAAAAAAAATGAAGCGAAATTGCAACATTGTTGGCAAGTTGCATTGTTACAGCAGTAAATGTAAAGCTCAATGCAATTTTGTTGCATCAAATGCACAACTACTTATTGAGTGTATAAAAAAAATAAAATAAAATAACAAAATAAGCAACATTACTACATGGCAAAGAGTGGGGAAAATTTAAAACTGCGCACTTTCAAAATATAATTCTAAAGTGATAGAATAACAGCTAGTAATACCCTGCGAGCAACATTAAAAGAAATTTGTGCAGCTTTGACATTTTATTTTTATTACATTGAATTGAATTGCAGATAAAAAAAGATTCATGGAAAGAAGGGAATTTATGCCTTCACCTTGTGGAATATTCTTGCTTCTTTTATTAGCCTGTACCTTTGTTTGGTGGCATGTGATGAGTTTAGGATGATCTTTTGTATGTTTTGTTCTATTTGGGCCCCTCAGTAGTTTCATTTAGATGTGGTTTAGGGTTTTTTGGTTTAAAACTGATCCAAGAGCTAGTTTCTAGAGCTACTTAGGACATCCTACCCTAGTTTAAGTTAAATTTAAAACCTTAAAAGTGTACAACATTGATTTTCAATTCAAGGGAAGCTACAACGACTTCTGGATGCTACTATGACCTGTCATAATTAAGGTCTAAGCTCTCACACTTAAGTAAATCACTCTTAAAAAGAAATAGACTTCTCAGTCAATTCTTAAAGTTACTTTACGAGAAGATGAACAAATTTAGTAATTTGAAGTAAATAATCATCCAACAGCTTACTCAACACATTGACATTATCTCAACCAGTTCAGACAGATCCTTCTTTAGCGAATCCATTTAGCAAAAAAACCATTAAATAGCCAACTTTAAGATCCACATAAAATGCGCCTACCCGTTGAATCACAATCATTTCCTCTTTTATAACTTCATCTATTAATTCTATTGACAATGAAATTTCTGTAAAGTTTTTTTTCATTCCATACCTCATACATATATGCTGTGTTGTTTGTGATGCCTACGCAAAAAGCCAACTGTATTCCACCAGTCAGCAGTATTTAAACAAGAAACTCATATGTTGACTGAACACTCCACACCTTCGTCATTAAAATATAAATAAAAAAAAAAGAATGAAACAGCTGAGAGGAATATGATTGTTTTGAGAAACAAAACAACATAGTAAGTTCAAAAGGTGTATCATCATTTACCGCTTCCAATACTTATGTTGCCACTTTCATAGAAAAAAAATTGTATCTTTAGTAAATTCATTACATGGTTGGAAAGTGAGCATAAATAGCATTATGGACAGAGTTTGTGTGTAGATCTCTTTATTCATAAAAATTTATAATATTTTTTTTGATCGCAGCAGAAAGCAACAAAAACGTTTCAAGAAAACTCGTTTCATGGAGAGAAGAAAAGGAACTGAAGTTGTCGGAATGTCATTGGAAGTTGATGGCTGTAGAGCATTTTTTGATAAGGATTAAATGAATTGTATAAATTTAAACTAATACGTTACAATACTTAAAAGGTTGCTGAAGCTACTAGTTTGTAAAAAACTACTGAATACTAAGTCAATTATGTTCCAAAAATATTTGATAAAAAGTCAATTATGTTACAAAAATATTTGATACAAAGTCAATTATGTTCCAAAAATATTTGATACAAAGTCAATTATGTTACAAAAATATTTGATACAAAGTCAATTATGTTCCAAAAATATCAAAAACAAAGTCAATTATGTTACAAAAATATTTGATACAAAGTCAATTATGTTACAAAAATATTTGATACAAAGTCAATTATGTTACAAAAATATTTGATACAAAGTCAATTATGTTACAAAAATATTTGATACAAAGTCAATTATGTTCCAAAAATATCAAAAACAAAGTCAATTATGTTACAAAAATATTTGATACAAAGTCAATTATGTTACAAAAATATTTGATACAAAGTCAATTATGTTGCAAAAGTATCAAAAACAAAGTCAATTATGTTACAAAAATATTTAAAACTAAGTCAACTATGTTACAAAGTCAATTATGTTACAAAAACATTTGATACAAAGTCAATTATGTTCCAAAAATATTTGATACAAAGTCAATTATGTTACAAAAATATTTGATACAAAGTCAATTATGTTACAAAAATATTTGATACAAAGTCAATTATGTTCCAAAAATATCAAAAACAAAGTCAATTATGTTACAAAAATATTTGATACAAAGTCAATTATGTTACAAAAATATTTGATACAAAGTCAATTATGTTACAAAAATATTTGATACAAAGTCAATTATGTTGCAAAAATATCAAAAACAAAGTCAATTATGTTACAAAAATATTTGATACAGAGTCAATTATGTTCCAAAAATATCAAAAACAAAGTCAATTATGTTACAAAAATATTTGATACAAAGTCAATTATGTTACAAAAATATTTGATACCAAGTCAATTATGTTTCAAAAATATTTGATACAAAGTCAATTATGTTACAAAAATATTTGATACAAAGTCAATTATGTTACAAAAATATTTGATACAAAGTCAATTATGTTCCAAAAATATCAAAAACAAAGTCAATTATGTTACAAAAATATTTGATACAAAGTCAATTATGTTACAAAAATATTTGATAAAAAGTCAATTATGTTACAAAAATATTTGATACAAAGTCAATTATGTTGCAAAAATATCAAAAACAAAGTCAATTATGTTACAAAAATATTTGATACAAAGTCAATTATGTTACAAAAATATTTGATACAAAGTCAATTATGTTCCAAAAAATAATTATCACAAAAAACAACAAATTACTGCATTAGTTCAGTTCCTTGATCAAGTTTTCATATTTTGGAGTATTAAAGACTTAAGTCATTAATACTAGTTTAAAAGAATCAAAATCTAGATTTGTTGAATTAAGATTTAATTCAAAGTAAACAAAGATTTTTCCCGCCAAAATTTAATCAACAATATTGCCATTTAAAAGATTTCAAAGTCATTCAATCTTACTTACAATAGCTAATAGCTGCATATTGCATAACAACAACCAGGAATTGTATTAATCAGCTGCCAAAAAAAACAATAATAACTCCAAGCTTCCTGAAAAAAACGCAAAATATCAGCAATCTAACACCGCTTAGTTCTATTATCCACAATTATTACAATTCATTCAGCAATCTATTATTCAAATTGGACAAAGGAATCGTATAAAGCACACCTGCAACTGCAAAATCGAGCTAAATAAAAATCTGGAGAGAAAGAGATGAAAAATCTTCCATTGTCTAAAGAACAAAAGATGAAAGCAAAGTTTTTGAGCATGAAAGAGATTATGTTGAAGGTTGTAGCGAAAATAATAAGAAGCATGGAATATAACGAGTTGTAAATCAGTGTAAAGGGGAGAGAGAAAAGTAATAAATTTTTGGTTCATTGTGAAGACATTTAGTTCAATAGATAATGTCACATAAATGAATTGCTTAGCCATACTCTCAGTGAATTTCGATTAGGTTCAGTGATGGATTAAAAACCGGATTAAATCGGAAATGATTGTGAGATTCTTTTTCTACGTTTCTTGATTCTTCTTGAATGACGTTTTAACTTTTTGAATGTGTTTATTCACCAATCAGATTCTATTCAATGTAATTACATATCATTTCAATTTCAAGATGTTTGATGTCGTAGCAGGAACCTTGATGATGATTTTTGATATTTTTAACCATCATGACATGATTTACATTGAGACATTCGCTGGTATGACATCTTCAACATAATCCAAGAAGTGTTCTACATACAATAATTAAAGACCAGCAACTTCATTTGAATTATACGTGCCGAAATAAGACCAAACAAGAGAAAACACTAGTTCAGCTATTTCAAATCCAGTATGATACAAAAACCTACAAATGTTCAACATACTTTTTCGTACACAAAAACGGGAACCTACTTATTTTGTAAACATAATCCGCAAAGCTGTATATTACAAAACTTAATTAACTTTTATATTATTTGACGACTGTATAAACTGCGAGACTTCACAAACTTTTAAGTATATAATTGATTATACAAATATTACGGGATATAGAAAGCCGGAATTTTTCGCAATGGAGAGACAAGAAATGTTTATGCGACTGTGTGGAAGTTGTTTACGCTCGGACTGTTAAATAAATTGCGATTTTTAAGTACGTGTGTTAGATATTCTTGAGGTTTCTTGATTGTTCAGGAGTTGATTTGCAATTTCATTGAAATGTTTGCTGGTTTAGAGATTTAGAAGGTGAGGCTGGATGTGAATATTGGCTATAATGTTGAAACAAAGTTAAGTCCGGGTCAGAGGGTTGGATAGGGGCCTCAAAAAAGGAAGCAAATCTGTCAATGCAAGGGTATGAGTTCTGTGATTGATTGGTTAAGCATCAGATAAGATTTTTGGAACCTTTTCTTTTAGGACGTTTCTAGTTTGATTCCTACTTTAACTAGATCTTTAATTAATTGCTAGAAACCAAACATCGGCACTTACTTTATCTATTCCTGTAATCATAAATGATATTGGACATGTTTTAATCTTTTATTGATTTAGTTTATTGACACAAGACAAATTTTAAAGAAATTGTTGAAGGATTAAGTCTCTGAAATTCCAGATCGATTAAAAAAGGTAAATCATTCAACCTAATACTTGCTTAATACTATAAATTTTAAAGAACCAGCTACAGATCCATTGCACAAATCGAATAAAAATTCTAAACTGTACACTGCAAATCAATAAATGATTGAATGGCAACTACCTGTTATTTAGTCACGTAGAAATTATTGGTGCATGAAGCTTAGTTCTTTGTGAACTATCCACATATATCAGCACATTAGCTAGCCAGATGATGCTGTATTTATTTTATATAGATTTAATGAAATAAAATATATGAAGCAATTTATTGAATTTCTGTGTGGACGTGGATGAAGCTTCAAATGATACTCTCTGCCAAGTCCCGTAAAATCACTTAAATAAAACTCCCACAATTGAGACAGTATCAAGCAAATCTGTCCATAATAAATTCCTATTAAATAATAATTTCCCTCGAATCTCATTAAGGAACTTGATAATTAAATAATGAGAACCAATTATAAGTAATTAAAATTCCTCATAAAATAAAACTTGTTGTGGATGTCATCAAGAATAACAATTCCAAGTATCTTGAGGGTCGATTAGTATTCAAATCAGATCCTGCATGAAACGTCAATTTCTGAATAATTTTATGAGAATCCTCAAAAACATTCCACATCAAAATTTCAATTTTTTACCATCATAATAATAATGGAACTGACTCAACAGCTGAAATTCTTTTCATCTCTTCTTCTATTCATAATCAACATGACTTTTTGGTGTATTTGTTTGTCCTTTTTCAAATCTTTGTATGTGTAAGTGCTGTGCACACACAGAGTCGATCCCCCAAAAGAAAAGCAGTGTATATAACACACACAAAAAAGGGCCATTAAATTTTATGACATTTAACAGCAGCAGCATAGAAAGAGAATATTCATTCAGGGTGTTAGATGGAACCAAATTGATGCAAAAAACAGGGGTGACTTTACAAAAAAAAATTAATTTTTTTGATGACGATAATACGCAGTAATTTGTGACGATATCTGCTTAAAAGAATCACTGTCAAGAAACTTACACAATCTCAAATAATTGACTGACGCATTAAGTACGGTACCATCACATCATTAGATGATTCTATAAAAATCTACTCCATCAATCAATTTTATTCCAAGATTTATTTTATTTTTGCATTGCGATTCAATTAGTATTAAGTATATGCTTATTTTATTGACCTAGCAATTTAAATGAGGGAAACAAAACAAAAAGTAGTTAATAAGTCGTATTTACGGTATTTATTCAGGTGGTTTCTGTCTTGACGTATGTGGAAAGTTCATTGAAATTAACTGGAAATTGTCGGTTATTGAGGAATTGAGCTTAAAGTTTGGTGAAGTTTTGGAGTTTTGAAATAGTTGACAATTTGGATTTTGCAGCTAAAATGTCATAAAAATCTTTATTTTTGGGAGAGTTGGAAGAAAATCTAGACTTTTATATGCAATTTTGAATCATTTTCTTTAAACTTATCCAAAAAAACCAATTAAAGCTTAAAACTAAGTTAATTTTTTTGAAGTTCTGACAAAAATTAAAATTCAAATTTAGGGGTGTCAAACTATGAACAGCAAAACATCAATGCTAATTTATCATAGTTTCACACCCTTGGAGTTCTTTTAATTCAAAAATTAACAAATTTCAATCAAAATGAAGTGAAAATCTATATCGATATTCAACTTAGTAAGTATCTAAAGCTTGTCAGCTATCATAACATTAAACTTCATATAAGATTAAGTGCATAAAAACATCTCTCAGAATTAAGGGCAAAACTCATCATTTTTCAGCAAAAAGTATGTTAAAGATTCTTAAAAGATTCATAAAAATCACGAAGAAAGTTTGTGTGCTGCTGCCATAGAAAGTTTTATTGCGTATCAACAAAATTCTCCATCTCACTCTCATAACAGCGCAACAAATGAATGACCTAATAATTGCTTATGATGCACCCTTCGAAAAACTATGCTATTCGTGGAAGAAGAAGAAATAAAGTATGTACATAAATTCTATATTTTTAAAAAAAAATATTAATGCACAGAAATATATATAAAAAAATCCCTAAACAACATACCTACTGCTATGTCATCGATTTGTGTTTTGTGTTGGTGTGATTGTGTGATGTCATATTCGGCTCTCATCCTCTCCATATGTATACATCATCTACAAAAACAACAACAAAATTGTACGTATTATAAATACAACAACAAAACAGAGGAAAGCCGAGTTTTGAGATGAGGAACAAAAAAAAATAATGCGTAGAATTTTATAAACATCATCTGAATTGTTTTTATGTACAGAACTGCATGCGTGTGAGTGGAAGTGAACATTGTGGAAGTTGTAAATAACAAAATAAAACATTCAACATTGTTTTTTTTCACCGTATTATGCTTTCTCATTCTCGTTTTGAATAAGAAATTGAGGCAGTGTGTGTAAAGTTAATGTTAAATACATACAATCGTACACATTCATATTTATGCTTGACCTAATTTCTGTTATTTCGTGTGTATCCAACAAATATATTATTAGTTTTTCCAAACAGAACATTAGTTCTTTGAAAATTTGAATTTTCAAAGACTTTTTTGACTCATTTTTGGGGATTTTTAAGTCACGAAAAGCTGATTTTATTAACTTTTTGGATATTTATTGATTAAAAATTAAACTTTTATTGGAAAAACTCCATTTTGATGAATTTGAATAGAGTACATCCTGGAATATCTAATGACATCAAAATAAAATTTACGTCGTAGTAAAATTTTGAGCATATTGGAGTCATAGATGTATCGCTGTCTATATTATAGTAATCATATATATCGTGACACATTGAAGCAACCATGCAACATGTCACACAGCTCAACAGAAATTGAAATTATTTTTTAACAACTTTTTTATAAGGCACGATTAATGAATGAGAAGAATAACAGATGATGATCTTGCACGGAGCATAAATCAGAATTATGTTAAAGTTTATGAAAATAACGTAACACATTTATAAATTATTGCATTTAAATGTAAAATTAATTGATGCCAACACAGGAGATCAGTTTCGAGTCACAAATGCAAAAATCTAGGCTACACAAACAATGCATAATGTTGAATTAGTCGATAAGGAAATGAAACAAAAATTTTTAAAATGTACTTTAATGAGTCATAAAAGAGATTAGTTAATCTTGAAGTGAGTCACAATAGAATTGGTAAATTTAAGTCTTATCATTAATTTTAATGGTCAATATTGCTTGCTGTGCAGGTGGTAAAGTAAATATTGTCGATTGCAAATTCTGTCAATGAGCATTTCGAGTAGTTTGGTCTTACAGTTGAAGCATCTAAAAGCAACAGTAGTTTAGAGGTTGTAAATTTGCTATTTGTGCTGTGTCAATAGGAAAGCATTCATGACAAATATCTGAATCAAAGCTTATGTGAGACCAACGAAGTATTGGATCTTGACTGAGATAACGCTAGCTTTGTGGCACATTTCTGCTATTTCGGATGTTATGTTCCATCCGGGTCAATCTTGTCGTAGCTAAATATGGTTAAAATGTGTATCAAGAATCGTTTCATTCATCCAAGTATTATATCGACAGAACTGATCCAAAAATGAAGCAGAAACTGCTATCCATTGAAACGAGAACTTACATTCACACAGAATTTGAAAGTAAGATTCATTGCATAATTCATGTAATGCATGCAGTTGGTCACGTAACGCTTAAGCTCGGAAGAAATTGTCAGACTTACTTAAAAAGTCACTAGACCTTGCTTCCAACAATCAAAATCTATCAAATTACGTCTATTTATCACAAAAATTATTATCATTTACAAAAATACCAAATCTATTTACGATAATAAATCCAAATAGCAGGATCTTAATTCATTGCTGCTAACTACTAACTCAAATCTTCAAGATTTCTTAACTGACGAATGATAAAAAGCAAATGATGTCCATTATCATTGCAAAATCCACTCGATGATTCAGATTTACTTTAAAATTTATCAATTCTCTGTAAATTTAGTAAGACCTATAAAAAATGGACATTATCAAAATAATTAGCATTATTAGACTGGTGCTAAATTCTGTCAATTTGTTGCCAGAAATAAATCCAAAAAATTCCCAAATGATTCACAGACTCCAGTCAACAATTAACCTTACGTAAGCTAAGGTTTAATAATCCCCAGTCTATAAACTAATTAGTATGTATGTTTACCATAAAAATTTGTCATTTCTTAAGCCTCTTATTCGTGTCTTGTACAGCAACATGAACTACCTGCCCACAGTAAAATGTAAACATAAAGTCATTCTCATTTATCATTTACTTTTATTTTACAAGATCTCATTAAAGAATATTTTTTTCAGCTTATGTATATCCTACAAATAATACGGTTTCTCTTATGAATATAGCAAAAGGTATACAATAATAAAATAATCAATGATAAAATCAACACTATCATGTCCGATGTTATCTGATGAATGTTAAATGAATTAGAAAAAAAATTCGGTTTAACAATAAAATTAATTAATTAATTTTTTGAATATCAAGAAAGTGCTTTTCGAGTTGTATTTGGTAGGAACAGGCACATTAGACCACCACCAGCGAGCAATGCAGCTACTATGAATGTTGGAGCCGGACAGTATGTGTCGAGGAGTGTAGCAATCACGACTACAATTAAAATCACAAAAATTAGTATACATCCATCAATATTAAGATTCAATTACTTACCATTTCCAATAATTCCACCAAGACGAGCTGCAACCATAGAAATAGCAACTCCTGTTGCTCTCAAATTTGTTGGAAAGACTTCAGTGATGAGACAATCTAAAGCAGCATTAGCGCATGATATCACAGCACTGAATGTGGCACTGACAATAAGATTTTCAATTTTGTTAGATACGAAATACATCAACATCGAGCAAATACCAGCTGAGACTGTTCCACCGACCATGAAGAACTTTCGTCCAAGACGATCCATTCCAAGGACCTAAAATTGACAGTAAAAATCATCAAAAAATGCAACGTCATTAAAAATTCACATTCCTTACCGCAATGACATTAGCAGGAAGTGCAGCAGCAACAGTGATCAAAGATTCCATAAATACGGTACTTGGAATGTCGTCATTGCACTCATGTCCAAGAGCTGATTTCTGTTTGACGACGAAATTTGTAACTTCACAGACACCAACATCCTTAATATCTGGATGTGCTTCAGCAAAGTCATCGAAACGATTAAAAAGTTCTGGGAACCACATCATCAATCCATAATATCCAATATGAAATGTAAAGTTGATGACAATTGACACAACTGTAAATTTGAGGATTGGACTCTGGAAAAGCTGCTTACTTTTTTCAATAATATTTACACAAGTTCTCTTGTATTTGTTCTTAATTGGCTTCTTGACTTCCTCGAGCTCCGCTCTGAGTTTGTCGTCAATGAGTAATTCTTTTACGGGATACATTGAAGGATCATTTCCAGTATTTGTAACATAAATACCACGGAATATGGCAAGTGCTTCCTCAAATCGTCCGCATGATAAGAGGAATTTTGGAGATTCTGGCAAGTAAAGCAACAAGATTCCAACAATAAAGCTTGGAATAGCACAAATGACTAAGAAGACACGCCATGAGTTGTAGACAAACTCATGAGTCTCAAATCCAACGTTTGTAGGAATAATCAGCCATGCCATTGATGCAACAAGTAAATTTCCAATTGTCCAAAAAGCAGCCATAAAACTCAACATTGATCCACGTTTATGACTCGGTTGGAACTCTGCAAAATAACTCCAAATGACAGGTCCAGCGCCACCAAGTGCAGCACCATTGAGGAAACGGAAGAGCATGAAAAACTCAAAATTTTGTGAAAATGATGATGCAACGATAAATAAAGCATTACTGAAGGATATCACGATGAGTACACGTTTTCGCCCTAATGAGTCAGCTATTGATCCCCATGCATATGCACCAACCATCATGCCAATAAAAATAATACAATTTAGCCATCCTTTCGTGTGGGTATTCAGATTCAAATCACACTGTGCCGATGGTAAGATGAAGCTCATGGATATCACATCCATTTCCTCACTTGTACTCACGAGACCGCATATTGCCAGCAATATATAATGGAATTTTCCATAACCCGTAAGCTCTATGGCGGCTTCAAAGTCAGCACGTTGTGAGTCATTGATCGAGTATGGCGGTGGGAGTGGATTAAATATTTCAACTACTCCATCGCCACGTTCTGGATCGAATGGACGATACTGCTCCTCTCGTATAATTTGATTCTTATCGCTCGTCCGAAGAGGTCCGATTGAACCTGATGTGGGAATTACAGCAGCTTGAATTTGTGGTTGAATTGATTTTTTGCTGGTATTTGTTTCTGATTCTGTGGAACCAATGCCGTTTTGTAATTTATCACCGTCTTTTACATCTATGCTGACGTTTTTATGATCAATATCAGAATCTACCATTATATGTAGCACACGAAAATGTTAAATGACTTCTTTTTTTTATCCTTACTAGCTTTATGTATTAATCTCTTGTTTAGCAGTTTTCACTTCTTTTATACTTTATCGCCTTCTTATTTTGTTTACTTTTCTTGCGGTTTGTGTTTGTATATTTACTTAAATGTAATTCGCTTGATGTCAGCTGTTAATCTGGAAAGTAAATAAAAAGAGATGTGTGATAAGTGATTTGTCATCGATGCGAAATGGAAAATAAAGAGTTAGAGATTTGTGATTTTAGTCAACATTCATAACATTTTGTGAAGATTTAATTTTTGTGCGCAAAAAGTTTGTGGTTATGTGCATATGATGAGAAATGATTCAAGGATCCTTGATTGTAGTCAATTATTTCGTGGATCATCCAAAACCCTTGAAAACTTTGAGCGATTGCTAATTGAATTTTTCATGAATCGTGATTTAAGGACACCGTGATCTAGTCGTTCGATCGACAGACGTCAAGACCTTAATATCCAAAAGTTATTAAACTAGTTTGTACTATTTTGAAAAGCTTTTCAGTTCACACTTAGGAATTATTTAATGATCTGTTCATTTGTCGTACATTGAACGTGAGAGACTAGTTTTTTCAGTCTAAGAAACTTAAATGAGTAGTAAGGTTCAATATATTAAAGCTTTTGCAAAATTGAAATGATGACAAATTAGATAAAATTAATGAATTTAAAACATTTGACATCTAATATCTATAATTTAGATTAATAACTACTTTCCCATGTTTATGACAAACAATTAACTTTCATCTAAGATAAATCCTTAAGCATAATAGCTATTCTCACGAATATCAACTCATTTTCTCATCTTAAGAGCATGTGATGATCAAGTCACACGATTTATTAAATTTTTAAATCAAATATTAGCAAAAAGTCACAAATTTAAATGATGGGACAATCTCTGAATGTGATAATTTGATTCTCAGTCATTTGTTTGGCAAATTTAAGTTTTTAGTACATATTAATTAGAATCATTCAAATCTAGCTTGACTTTGCTATAATTTTGCTTGACGAAAAAAATTGATTTTCTGCAAAAAGTGCACTTTAAATATTAAATAACTCCCAAAAAACCTTAAATTCACAAAAATTAATGTCAATCAAAACTTTTTCATGCCTGCAACTTGCTTAAACCATTGAATTATTCAGAACAATTTGGTTTTTATGCCAACAAATTCACATTGTCTTTGTATTGAATCCACAAAGCTACAATAAATTTCACTTTCAACTCGAGCATTTTCTTATCAATTTACTTAAAAAAAATTCATTTGTCACAGCCAAAAGCCACTGAATTCAAAAACTGTGTGAAGGGCGAAAGCATTTTTTTCATATCAAAACTTTTTTGAGGGTCACAGAAATTTTCTGCTATTTTTTGGTGAATATTAATTTTATTATTTATTTGTAAGCCATTAACTGTAAATAAATGATCAAGTAATTGGCTTAAATTGGTGCGATTTTTTCATGATTTGGTAAAATTGTGAACTTGAAAATTATTGGCTTTTAAAAGCTGTAATTTATGTAATGTTAAGGTATTAAAAATTTAATTTGTTCTTATTGAGTGTCGTACAGTTCTGGAATTATATCTTTAAACTTGATGACGTCTTTGAAAAGGGTTTTGAGTTGGTTTTCACTTTTAGAATTTAGTCTTTACGCTATAAAGCTTTGGATTGAATCTATAACAAGATAAATTCTACTCAGCGGGAGTTGAACCTGCGCTTAAACGGTTCTCAGTCGCATGATCTTACAATTCAGCTATCTAGAGTTGCTTGAAAGCCTGACAAAATGTCAACTTTAACTATTAATCTGCACATAAAAGCATTTTTGATCATATTAACCCAAGATCCAGGCGCGTAACCTTCAGGGTCTTGCCCCCTCTCCTTAAAAGTTTTGAACCGCAACAAAAGCAAGGCCTAAAACGCTTAGGAGGGGGACAAGACCCTCATAGCAACGCTCCTGCCAAGACCTAACCTTTAGTGAAGAACTACCCTAAAAATAATGTTCAATAACCTTTTAAACCAAAATATTGTCTAATTTAATCCAAGGAAATAGCAAAGCTTTGAAACACAATTTCTCATCTAAAGCACTTTATTGACAAACAGAATCATCAAAATATTTAAATTTTTGTCTAATAAATAATTGAAAAATTATCTTTTGTTATCTAATCCTTGAAAAATTACATCCGAAATTCCTAAGTATATACTTTAAAAGTTTACATCAACACCCTGACTACACAAGGTTTTATTTTCATCTCTAATCGTTCAAAGTTTATTTAATGTCGCTCTGGATAGTCGTCATTCTCTTGACTTTATCAATTTAATTGTAGTCCAATTCAATCCGCAAGTGTTAGTGCATTTTCTTGACAAAATAAAAAGCTAGTTTAATTCAAAGCTCCTATCAAAATCATTGAAGTGTGAACAAATCGCTCTAGTATTTAGTAAATTAATTCATAGTATTAGAACCTCCATTTTTCACCTATTGTTGACATGATTATTCAACAGAGTTTGAGGTCGTTAACTTATGATATCCAAAATAAACCATGGAATAGGTCCAAATGTAAATTAGGTTAGATAAGTCTGCAAGTAAATCATGACAACATCCGCAAAGAAAAATCTAAATAATTCTGAGTCTGACCCACTGTAGAGCACACTGAACTGACATCTGATAATTAACATTTCAATGTTAAATTTACATCAGACAATTAGCAGAGCATCATCCCACATTAGAGTGTAAGTAAACATGCACAACTTGAATTAGTCATAATTTCACTCATATTTTTTTTTATATTCTCTCGGGGCACAAAAGAAATACAAGGCAGGAAACGGAATCCAGCAAAGTTGAGAGCATCGTTTAACTTCAATTAGAATTAGGAATAAAAGTAGAGTTTTTTTTTTGTGTTCGCTCTTCAAAATTAATTCAATTTGATTAAAATGTTTATTTCGCATCTTGTGCGCTCAATGAGATTCTCTCGTACATGATGGAAGTATGGAGATGTACATAATGTTTCGAGAGCATTGCGAAATTTTCCCACATCTTCAATGATTTTTCAAGCTTTTTTTTTATATTTTCGTAAATATTTTGTTCGTTCTCCTTCACCAGTTCCTCAATCAAAAAAATTTCCATATGTGCTGCGTGCATTTACTACCTGTTAGGTTTTAGCGCATTTGATGGAGTTCTATTAATGTCTTTAGCTTGTCTGGTAGTCTGATTGATACTAGATTCTAATATTCTTGGTTTTAAGCTTAAGTATCCCTGCTTATGGTATTAGAGGTAGCTTATTGATAGATCAAAGGTAGGAAATGTCGATGTAAATTGCGGACATTTCTAAATCTACAAAGTTCTAGATCTGAATTTAATATCCCTTGGATTATCGATCACTCTTTTCTTTTCGTTGATTAGAAGTAGGATCTTGAAAGGAGGTTCTTAATTCCCTATTAATCATCAATTCTCAAATAATTGAAGATCTTGCTAGAAAAATGCGCTTTATTCGTGTACAAGCTGACCACATCTATGTTAGTTTTTAATTTTCATTGAGTGTTATTTTGCTTTTCTCAGCACAAGCTCGAAAGTGATAGACAAAATACAAAAAGCATGTGCTCATACATACATGCATGAATTTTTCTAAAAAAATCATTCTTTTGTCACACGATTTGATAATGACCTTTCAATTCTAAGAAGCTCTCTTTTCATTTCTTTTTTGTGTCCTCAATGATGAGTCGAATCGAGTCGAGCTTATTGTTAAGCACTTGCACAGCGAGAGTCACAATATGTAAATAAATTGAAGAACAAATGGATGATGGCACTTACAGTAAAATTCACGTTTTGATTGCTGCCAAATTTGCAACTTTTAACTTTCATAAAGATCACTCTCTTTCTCTTTTGGTCAGTTGGTCACGAAATGTTTACACAAAAGTCGCATTTGTTGTTTTTACAAATTATTATTTTCTCTGTTGTTTTTCAAAATGTGCGAATTAATGGAAAAATTTTCACGACTTTACTTCTTCTTTTGTTCAACTTTTTCTTCTTCTTTTTCATAAATTTTTTAAATTTTTTTCTCTCTTTTGTTATCTTTTTATCAGAAAAAATTTATATTCACAATAATAATATTTTATTTTATTATTGAAGAGTCCTCGTCTTAACGATCTTTATTTATCGAGTCGGGTAGTACAACTAACTTGAAAATTCGTGTAGTTACTACTATAAAACTCATCCACAATGGAAATAATAATGATACTAACAATGTGATGTTTATTATTGTAATTTGAATACTAAAAGTGTATTTAATTTTTCGTATATATATATTTTAGCGGTGTTTCTGAGCTTTACTAGCTTCACTATCAGCAGTTTGATACTAGTTCATGTTATTTTGTGCAGATTGGTGGACTCATACGGCCTGTTTCACTAAAGTGGATTATCCTCGATTCTACTTCAGTTTTTTGGAAATATCTCCAGACGCTTAAAGTTTTTAAGAGATCTAATGTGTGATCTAGTAAGAGTACTTTGCTACTTAAATTAACATATACTTAGAATTTTTATATCTTCATTAGTTTGAGAATTAAAGCAAAAATCGAAGTTAATCTACTAGATTTGGCTAGAAAATTGAATAATTAATACTTCTTAACAAAAAGTAAAAGTTTAAAGTATACAGAAATTTCAAGCATAGTTCCGAAATCGAGGATAATCCTTAATTAGTGCTTAATTTAATTAAATCTGCAGTATAAATTGAAATTTCGACATTTGAAAATAAAAAAGGGTGTCAATTTAGGAGCCGTTCACTTATTACGTTCGCATTTTAGGGGGGAGGGTGAGTTTGAAAAATTGTAATAAAATGTAGCATAGGGGGGGGTGTCAACAAAAATATTTTTTTAAATTTTCCACCTTTTTAATGATTTATGAAAAATTATCAAAATAAAATAAATTATGAACGTTCAGAGGGGGGGGGGGGGGGGTTGTGAGTTGTTACATATTGTAACAAGGGGGGGGAGGGGGGGTGAAAAAAAGTCGTTTTTTTGCGCAACCTAATAAGTGAACAGCCCCTTATGGATTTTTGTTTGTTTACATTTTCGTAGCTTCGCGCTCTGACGTTTGAATTTCAAAAAACCGTTAAATAGTAAGTTGCTAATCTTTCAAAATAATATCCTTAATTTGAATCATTAAATAAAGTTAAAGCGCTTTATATCCGAACCAACCCTCTTTATCAGTGATTTATCAACTGATTTTCATTTGAATAGCATCTGAGTTGATGTTATATTCTCTATAGTGATTTACTTCTACGTTTTTATCTCACAAAGGTATAAAAATTTCACACATATTCACTCACAAAAGAGAGAAAGAGATTAGCGAAAAATCAACAAATTCAATGGCCATCCACAGCCACTTTTCATCTTCTAGAAGGGGCATTAGATAGAAAAACAACAACATCATCTTCTTAATCAAGCTCAATGAAAAGCTTATTTTTTCGAGCACTCAGTGAATGGAGAATGATCCCTAAAACTCTCTCGCTTTACATGTAGTGAATATACAATTTATTTGTTGTCATTTTGATAGTAGTAAACATGCTTCTTTTCAGAAATTCAACTTGAATGTGAATCTGTGAACGGCTATCAACACGCCAATCAATCACATGCGCATCAAAAGCCTGTAACAATTGATAATTGGAACAAACAAAGATGAATAATTTTTTTTTTTTCGTTCTCTTTACATTGCAAATTTATGAAAAGTGTTCTAATTTTCTGGCTATTTAAACAGTTGACGGAATTGAAACTTTTTTTGCTATTGGCGATAAATGCGTTTTGAAATATTTATGAGATTATTAATTGAATTTGAGGTAGACGAATGTGGGAAATGAAATATTGAAATTGTTTGTTTAGATTTGGTAGATTGAAAACTTTTTTTTTTGCGTTTTTTGCTTCTTCTAATATTGAGTTGGGAATTGGATATTTATGAAAGATGTCTGATTGAATATTTATGAGCAGGTTATGTAAAATAAAAGGAAAGCTCTGTTAATTGCTAAGAAGATAATTTGTAAGTCTAACAAGAGATTTGCGTAATGTTATTATCGGAAGTGATCTTGGTTGATTTTAGAAAATCTGATCATGAAAGAGCAGGAGTAGCTTGGAATAAACGTTCTTCATTCTGAAGTTTAAATTTTAACCGAACTGGAAAGGTTCTTCAAACTTTAATTTTCAAAACTTCGAATAATGAGATCAACCAATAATAAAGTTTTGATTAATTTTGTTCATTTTGATCCGTTCCTTATTCTTCTTCATGGTTAAATGCCATAAGGAGCATTTATATAATCTACCAGCTTCTAAACAGGTTTTCTAGATTATGTTTTTATGGTTCGCATCCTAATCTTAAAAATCTCTTCAGATACTCAGTTTGCAAATCTTCTTGCTTAGCTCATAATTTATTGTTATCGTAAGAACCATACTATTGACATAAATGACATTCAAAAAAGATATATTTAATGAAACTGCCTGATAGTATTGTATCCAAAATATTTTTTTAAAAAATGCTGTCTGTTTTTACAAATGAGAAACAGAAGACAGATGGTTCTTAAACTATCTAGCTTTGTTTTGTGTGACTCAGTTTCGAATTCTTCGACCAAGATGTTTAAATTGGCTTAGGTCATGAAAGCGGGCTTGGTTAGATCGCTTAAATATAGGGGCGCAGCTAGGTAATAAGGTGGATTTAGGAGCGTCAAAATTCGATACAAATAATGAAAATATGTTTCTCTTGAAGGTGCTTATAAATTAATATACTGATCCTTATTCTTTTGTCAGATTTTTTTAAGACCAGCCAACCAGAAAGTTAAGGCTCTATCAGATTAGAACAGACCCAACCCTAGTTAAAGAATTTTATAAATTTTTATTATTCATTCTTCATGACAAATCACAAACAACCTGCTGATATTCGCCAGACAGTTGCTGCTGGAAGGAAAAAATCAAGGAATGACATCGCCACAGATAATATGTAAGAAATTTTCAGATATTAAGTATCACAATTGCCAGTTGTTGGATACTCCAAAAATAGAATAAACTTCAGTATCGTTTTATTGATAAGATACCTTAAATTTTGACTCAATAAAGTCAATAGACTCAATGAAAATTTCTTACATGATAAATAATGTATGAAATTAAGGCACGAAAGTTTAGGATTTTAAGTTCAATTTTTTTTATTGAAATTTCTTCAATTTCAAGGCTTTATAAAGTTTGATAATTTATGGCTTCAACTCGTCACGTAGCAACCTAGTAACACAGAATCAACACAACAAATCATCACTCACCACAGTTAGACAATATAAATGTAAAGAAATACTCACCAGCTTAATAACTCGAAGTGTAATAAAAAATTGCAGCCCAAAGGGTTGCGATTCGCAAACCTACTAGAAGTCTCTCAGTTTTATACTGAATTTTTATATCAATTTGCTGTATCTACGTCAGTGACAGAAAGATAACTTCATTCGTCTACGACGTGCTATGCCGATCATAAATTCATCTTTTTTTGAGACTGTGATAAGGGATGATGGAAATGCAAATTTGTTTTTATCTTATTTATCAAATCTCTTTTCTAGACTTGTTGTTCTTGTGTGCTACAATCAGATAAATCAATCTGACTCACATCTACAAATGATCTGTAAACACAGAGTCCAAAAATATCCCAGATTAAAGAGAAATTTGAGATACATAAATTTAAAGATCTGCAGAGCCTCGTTAGATAAAACACAAGATAAGAAGTACGACAACAATTGTCGTTAGGCTAATCAGATGAAAAATATGACAACATCCAGTTTTGTCTGAGTTTTGTTTTTGAGAAAACATTTGTAAATGTTTTAAAATTTAAAAATTTAAGGTTCATGACGAATCACCATCAATATTGAATTTTCATAGTTTTTCACGATGTTAATGTCCACAAATTCCATCAATTATTTACTTTTGCTTGCTCAAAACGTAGTTAAAGTCAAACATTTATTGAAGCATTAATTTACTAATTTCATTGTTTCTTTCTTGATTGATTTATTGGTTTAATTTTCAATAGTAAACAACTTGAGTTACTGATTAACTTAGATTTAGAAAGCTAGATAAAACTAGAGTAAGATTAAGGTTTGTTTTCGTTTGCATTTCATATCAAGCTCAATCAGAATCTATAAACAATTTAGTATCTGTCATCAATTGTAGAACTTTTAAACAATTAACAACCTATGAAAAATCAGGAATACTAGAAAGTAACCATTATTAAGGTTCAAATCCATATTTGAGCTGACATGTATCTTAATTCAGAGATTCCAATTGAGACCTACAAAGAACTTTCAATCTTGCAATTTCTTTCTTCTTAAAACAACTGTTGGTGGTTTTAATTGATCAACTTAATAACAAAGAAACTCATAATGGAAATCCCATATTATTCTACATGATAATCTCTGACTTATCATTTAAACTTAAAAAAGCCTGACTCATTCAAAAACTCTTAAGTTTTTCTTAATTTTCATCCAACCACAGAGACACAAACAAGTATCAAACTTATCGTCACCAGTAGAAATGAAAGAGATACAGTAGCGCTCAAAAGTATCGGACCACATATAAAAAAACACAATTTTCTCATTTAAAATGTTTTTGTTGCATCTAGAACGCTGAATTTTTTATCAAATACGTATTTTACCATAATATATTAAAAAACGAATCTTGCTACTTATATTATTTAATATTTTCTAACGCAAAAAATAAATTTCAAAAAAATATGCGCTCAAAAGTATCGGACCAGATTCGAATTTTTTAAAAAAAAATTCTTTTATTTACTTTAGAAATCAAGTAAGTATTAATTTAACTAGGTGATATATTTAAATACAAATTAACATTATTTTAATAATGGTTAAGATAAAGGAGATATCATAAAACGCCAGAAAATTGATTATTCGTGCTGTACAAGAGAAGAAATCACATAGAAAAGTTGCAACACTTTTTGACGTAAGCAAGACGTCGGTAACTAATCTTCTCAAGCGCTTTAGAGAGAGAAATAATGTCCAAAATAACCCAAGAAGTGGAAGGCCTAAAGTAACGACAGAAAGAGATGACAAAATCCTCGTAAGAATGTCAAAAAGGGATCCTCGCAAGACAGCAGTCGAACTTAATGAAACATTACACAAGAACATGCTGTAAAATGCAGTGTTTCTACTACGAAACGTCGTTTATGCAAGGCTGGACTATGTGGACGACGTCCTGCGAAGAAGCCATTAATCTCTGTGAAGAATAGGAAAGCCCGATTAAAATTCGCGAAGGATCATTTAAATTGGACATCCAAAGAGTGGTCAAAAGTTCTTTGGTCTGATGAATCAAAGTTTATGGTGTTTGAGAGCGATGGTATGAAGTATGTTCGTCGTCCAGAAAGTCAGAGATTCAATCCAAAATATCAGTTGCCAACTGTAAAACATGGTGGCGGTTCAGTTATGGTGTGGGGTGCGTTTAGTCGTGATATGGTTGGTCCGATTCATCGCATAAATGGAATAATGGATCAAGTGGTCTATAAGGACATCATCGCCAATAAAATGCTGCCATTTGCTAAAGACAAGATGCCACGGGGATGGATATTTCAGCAGGATAATGATCCTAAGCATACAGCAAAATCCATCAAAGAATTCTTCAAGAACAAAAAAAATCGTTTGTTGGAATGGCCATCTCAGAGTCCTGATCTCAATCCTATTGAGCACCTTTGGGAGCATATAGATCGTAAAATGAAAGGCAACAGACCACGGAATAAGGAAGAATTATTTAATAACATCAATGAGTGTTGGCAAAATATTCCATTGGATGTTATCATCAAATTGGTGGATTCGATGCCTAGTCGTTGCAAAGCAGTTATATCCGCAATTGGCTATGCAACGAAATATCAATAAAATTTTTTGTTTGAGCTTTTTCTAGTCCTTAAAACAATTTTTTTTAAAAAATTCGAATCTGGTCCGATACTTTTGAGCGCATATTTTTTTGAAATTTATTTTTTGCGTTAGAAAATATTAAATAATATAAGTAGCAAGATTCGTTTTTTAATATATTATGGTAAAATACGTATTTGATAAAAAAATTCAGCGTTCTAGATGCAACAAAAACATTTTGAATGAGAAAATTGTGTTTTATTATATGTGGTCCGATACTTTTGAGCGCTACTGTATGAATGACTCAATAGTCAATGGATGTATTTGATGTATCAATTTGTGTTAATTATCAGCAAAAATCTAGTTATCAATGTGAAGATGCTCAGGGTTTTCATATAAACACAAACATGAGTAACTCAAGATTGTCATAGCAAGCAGGTGTTAATGAACGGACAGTAGCTAAGCAAATTTGGGAAAATCTTATTTACAATCACATTTTTCAGCTTAACTTGAATGGTTCCGAGAAGTACAAATTGAATTTGTTCTAAAACAATAGCAAAAGCATCTTCAGGACACATTTTGGGAATCATTCTTAAGTTACGTCAATCAAAACATTAATTTGACATCGTTTATGAATGAATCGTTATCTCTGTGATGTTGACGTTATTCGCACAGTAACGTAGTAGTACCCCTGGATACCTCATTGTACTGCTCGGGACCAAAAACAAAACAAATTGTGAAAAGCAATTTTTAATGCTGTTCACTCAAGACAATGGTGTTGGTATATTGTGAAAAGTCACGTGTTTGTTGACTTATTATTATCAATTAAGACTACTGTCTTTATGAAAGGCGCTAAAGATGAATAAGACTAAAGTAACGTGATGGGAATTACCCACAAAGAATTGCAAATAAAAGTCATAAAAACAAATTTGTGAACACAAATATTAACTTTTCTTTAAAATTTTAAATTTGCGGACACAACATTGGGTGCTAAATGAAATCCCATTGTTTTCTTTTGATTTATGGTCTTCTTTAACATTTGTTGTGTGAATTGATAATTATAGGTCTAATTATTAATGATAACAGAAGTGATTAACATGGAAAAAGTTGTGTCCAACACACATTTTCTGAGTCATAAATTGGCACGGAGATTGTTATTATTATTATTGTGTTTATGCTGGTCTTTAGTAGTCATGATAATGATGGGTTGTGGGAAAATTGTAGATATAATGTTCGATATGTTTAGTAAATTATCGCATTTAAATTTAATTTTGATGTATAAATGTGGTTGAGTTTATAACGAGGTGGTTATCTGGTTGGTTTTAATCATTTGGTTATGAGGTTCAATAGCTCATGTTATATTGAGTTTTCAAACTTTTTGGGGCTAATCTGTTTGTATTGTTAAATTGAATAAGAGTTGTTATTAAGAAATTGAATTACAACAGTTAATTAAAACTTAATAGTTTTCCCAAAGAGAATTGCAAATTTTGATTCTTAGCTACTAAAGAGGAGTCAAGTTGATTAAGATCTAAGAAACATCTTAATAATAATGTTTGATTCAATTTGTAAATAATCTATTGTACCATACCTTTTTGACCTACAGTTTTTATTCGGATCCCAAACCACTTGCACTTGCATGAAGAAGCAAGAAACATCTTACGAAGACCTGAATAAAGTTCAACAAGTTTAAAGAATCCTTTTCAGGAGCAGGTTTAAAAATTTAATTCGTGATTTTCAGCCATTTCTTAATAATTCCCGAGATCAAGACTTACATTCCTTTGCTTAGATTGATGAAATGTTAAGTGTTAAAGAACGAATTCAAGTTTGTCATGAAATTGAATGAAAGTCTTCGATTTTTGAATCAAAATATGTTTGATTAAAAACTTACCGACATCAGGTTCTTCATAAATCCTTCAACATTCTCATTCCGTTGAGTAAAAAATTCAAATCCCCTTTAACTGATTCTTACGCCATCTACAACTACCACTCAGGAGATATATATAAATCCCTTCAATATTTTCAAACAAACATCAACGAATTTTAAAAATTCAAACTCCTACTCCGAACGAGAAAAATTCGAATCATTATTCATTTCGATTTAAAAACAATTTTGTATTTGTAAAATTTTTGAAAATTAAAGTTATGACGTGAAAATACCAAAGAATAATATTGAATATTTATATATCTGCTAACGACTGCAACGTGTGTGTTAAAATAAAGTGTTCAAAATCTTATTAAATGTGAATAATTGTGCAAAAATCATTGTAAAAGAGAAGGAAAAAATTGATGAAATTTTCTCCTTGGAAAAGTAATAATAATTAACTTTATTAGCAATTAACTTCTAAACATAGTGCAACGCAATAAACAAAAAGTTATCTCGAGGTGTGAATAGCAAGATGAAGTAAGAAAACCGTGTGTTATAAGACGATTATTGTAAAATCAATTATACATATAAGGGAAAAAGTATGTATGAGTCATAAAACGAGAGATAGATCCAGTAAAAGAAGAAGAATTCAAGTGCTTAATAATTTATTAGAATTATATCTGAGATTCCTCAATGGGCAGTGTGTGGAAGCGATTGCAACGCGTTAATAAGCGTGCTGCCAAATTTCAATTTACTGTGTCTTATCATGAGATTAAAGTTGAAACGACTTCAAAGTGGTAAGGAAAAAAAACAGAAGTCAATAAATCAATTATTGGATATTTTAGATTCTTTGATAACGGAATATTTATTGATTATAGGCGTCCAACGAATCTTTATGTTGTGTGGACGAGAAGGTAAGTAACATGCAATAATAACTACTCTAACGGCAACAATTATGGACACATTTCAATCCATAGATCACGAAGAGTTGTTTCAACGTCTCTACCATGGAGTCCCGATATGGTCGACCCGTTAGTAGCCAATTTAAATTGGCCAGTTCCTGACAATCATTCAATCACTGTGACATTATTTAAAGACCCGCGAACGCATGAGTTAGAGGATAAAGATTGGACATTTGTGCTTGAAGATTTATCGCCAATGGGGAAGAAGAGACCACTGGCAACAGCGGCAATAAACATGAGAAAATACGCGAGTATTGAGTCAACACAACAAACATTTGCAATAACTCTTCGCCCAATGACAAAGAAGATCACGTCTGCTGAAATTGAACTCACGATTTCCTGCGTATTTCTCAGAGAAGGAAAAGCGACGTAATTAACAAAATTCTTTTTAATTCTATTTTTAAGTCATTCATTGATATTTTCTTTTTATTTATTTGTTTACTTATTGTCGACTTCTTTTGATCACTTTTATATTTTTAGTGACGAGGACATGCAAAGCATGGTGAGCTTGATGAGCGTAAACAACGCCTCAGACATAGCACCGTTAGACGACCTTGAAGATATTCCCGATTTAGAGAGTTCCGGTGATATATCAGAGCATGTCATTGACTTTACAAACCAATTAGAACAATTAACGTCTAGCTTAAATAGTCCCGAAATTCAAACACCCAAAAGTGTCCCTTCCATTCCCGAAGATCCAACTCCTTTGGCTGAGATTAATTCAAATATTGTGATGACTAAAAATGAAGCAAACAATGAGAGAAGTGCTGATAAGCATGCAATTGTAACTGTTGCTGAGGTCAATCATGTTGATAAGATTGAGGAAACAGCTCGAGAATTAAGTCGAATTGAGGAAAAATGTGATAGAACTGATGCAATGATTCCAACAAGTAAAATAGGCGGAATGAGATTCCCAGAAGAGCTTGAAGCTGTCGCTAAATTAGAGAAAGAGAAAGAACCGGAAAAGACACTGCTTAATTCCACACCCAAACCTAAATCCAATAATTTATTCCATTCATTTAACTTTAAAGATGAGAAACCTGCTCCACTAGCATCACCAGAACAAATTAAGTTACCAGAAACTGAAGTCATAGCTGAGCCACCAAAGCTTGTACAAAAAGCACCAGAAATTAGAAAAAGAATTGATTTACAGCCATTGAATTTGAAAAAGAGCTACGATTATGATAACAACAATATTAAGAATGAGGTGAAGAAGGCACCAGAAATTAATGATAAAGAAAAAGAGAAAGAGAAACCAAAAACAGGAACATTAGGAAGGGATAAGACACCAGGACAAGACTTACTCGAGTGGTGTAAAGAAATCACAAAGAATTATGAAAATGTTAAAGTTACAAACTTGACAACTAGTTTTAAAAATGGAATGGCATTTGCAGCCATAATAGCACATCATCGACCTGACCTAATCGATATGAATACATTGGGGCCGTCAGATATTATTGGAAATTGTAAGAAAGCTTTTGATGCTGGTGAAAAATTAGGAATTCCAAAAGTATTGGAACCATCGGATATGAGTTTACTTGCTGTACCCGATAAATTGGCTGTTATGACTTATCTTTATCAATTACATGCACATTTCACTGGACGTCAATTAGAAGTTGATCATATTGGTAAGTTGATTGTGTTGCTGCTTTCATTTGTGTGTCTAACTGACAAGAGTTTGTGAGCTTTCAGCTCTAATCGCATGGCTTGGATTTGCTTACTTAATGTTTGGAACAAATTATTAAATTTTAGGACCAACTTCAGATGAATCAAAATACGTACTCGGAAGCTTCAAAAGTGACTCTATATCAGCCGGCAGTGAAATCACTGCAAGTCTTAATGACATTAAACATCAGCTTTTAATGCAACGATCAAATCTTATAATAGAGACAGCTCAAAAGTCACCAACGAAAAAGGAATCAAAGAATATATTTATGAACGGATCAAAGATCGACAGTACAACTGATAAACCAATATTGATGACAAGACGTGAATTAAATGATCCATTTGGCTCTGATGATGAGGATGATCAAAATAATAAGAACAACAAGAAATCTCCACCAAAAGATTTAATTTCACCTCCTCCGGTTATTGATGATGTAAGATTTTACTCATTTGAATTATTGCAGCTATAAAATTTAATGTATGGGGTCATTTACAAATGATGTCTACTTTCAAATGAAATTCTTCAACTTACAAGATCTTTAATCATTTAAGAATGACCCCCATTAAGTCTTCATGATCATTAATGCCATTCAAAAAATAGAGGAACTAATTAATTCTCTTTAATCTCCTAGAAAATCGTCAATCGTCATAAGCAACAGAGTGAGAAAGCTAAAGAACTGATTGAAAAGCTTCGACCGACAGCTGTTGAAAATGGCAAACCTATTGATCTTGATGAGGTAATCCAATTCAACAAGTCACTCACAATAAATACTATAAAAAAAATCAATTTTATTTTTAGAATGATCGTCAGACAAGACTTCGAGAACATGCTAGACGTCTCATTGCTGAAACAAGAGCCAAATCCATCACATTAGACTCTCCGTCATCGCCAGTTAGACCACTCACACAAAGAATCACTCTATCGCCTGAGAGAACAATATCTCCGATTAACAACAATGTTACACCATTTAGTTTTAATGCATCTATGCCTAAAGATGAGCTACTTAGAGAACAGAGTCCTGCAAGAACCACTCCGCCAAGCGGAAAGAGTCCATTGCAGAATCTCAATATTTTAGAGAGAATTTCACCAAAGTCGGAGACTAAGGTAACTTACTTGGTGATTAAACCTGAATATTTTGCAAGAATCTCGATTCATCCACAGATCGAAAAGACAAAGTACATCCAATCAGAACTCGATGCACTAGAACGTGAACAAGAGTCGATTGATCAAAAGGCAAACGAGTTGGAGAAGAAGCTAAGAGCAGTCATGGGTGGAAATATGATTGGAAGTGAAACTGAAGATCAATTGATGGCTCAATGGTTTACGTTAGTCAATAAGAAGAATGCACTTCTGAGACGGCAAATGCAACTGAATATTTTGTAAGTCGATTCTTATAAGACCTTTGCTGGATATAACTTACCTGAATTTCTACCTTTTTATTGTACAAAAAAAAATAGGGAGCAAGAAAGTGATTTGGAACGTAAATACGATCTCTTGAATCTCGAACTTCGAGCTGCTTTATCGATAGAGGATTGGCGCAAGACAGAAGAGCAACGCGAACGTGAAAAATTACTCCTTGCTGAGCTCGTCTCGATAGTCGATAAGAGAAATGAATTGGTATTAAATCTTCACAGTCAGGAACAGGCGATCGAGGACGACGAAGATATTCAAACGAAACTCATGAACGTTGACATAAGTCAGAAAGATAAGTGTTCGATTATGTAAAGCACGCAAATTTACAGGCACACATTTTAAATTATTTGTTTTGGATCCTCAGGACTTAGCATCCTCAACACCTCTTGTTCCTTTTTTTCATACATAAGAAACAAAAATAGAACTTCTACAATGATGACTTATAGACTAAACAAATTATAAGCTTGATTACACTTAACGCAGCGCGTAGATATCTTCTTTTTTTTTTAAACTCTGACCTACACTATAAAATGTATGCTTAATAGTATGATGACCTTACAAAGACACGGTAGATATTACACATAGACAAAACCTACACAAACCTTTTCTATTCACAATATGGTAAAAATAAATATATAAAAATTAATATATACACAAAATAGATTGATGACAAAGAAATATTTAGGGGAGGCTTGGGATGTGGTGTTTGAATGGAGTTTGCTAGGCTAATCTTGGGATTAGGTAGGAGTATAAAGTGGTTTGGAGTAACTTCTTATAGGTATTCTCTAATGTTGTCACTATTCTAACCTATAAGACACTAGTCTAATAACCTAATCCTGTCCTATACTACATTACCTAGTGATCGAACTAGGATCTAATCCTATGCTATGCTAGGGTACCTCAAAATCTCACCAATAAGACCATGAACCTACATCAAACCTCCTCAAAACAAAGGTTTCAAATCAAGCATCAGAAATTTCAATTTAAATCCCAAACAAACTCCATCCAACTCTACACCAGCATTTGATACTACAAAAAAAATAAATTAAAAATTGCTTACAGACTATGAGTGAAATTAGTTTATGCTATACAATGTACTTTTTATCAACGACTTATCTACATAATTATTAGGAAAAGGAAGTAACTGATACTCGTGAAGGAAACTATTTTCACGCCTTACTACTTCTCTTTTTTTGATTTCTACTCTATTATGCTCATTTAACTTTAGATTAAAAAAGGAGATATGCAAAAAATAATGAATCACAAAATAAATTTGCACGTAAAAAATGAATCACAGGTCGAAGACATTGCCGTGTTAAATCACACACGTTTATTAGATGAGTAAAATAAGAAATTTGTATCAAATAATTCAATGGCAAAAAAATAAGGTTTTTGTGCTTATTGTGACTTTAGATGAAGCAAAATGAAATTTTTTTTGGTTCCCTTAAAAAAGAAGGGGGAAAATTCTAGTCATGGAATTTAAATTATGACATAAATATGTGTTATATAAATTTGATAATTTTCTTCTATAAACTACTTATATTCCATATCAATTAAAAGGTATATTTTATTTTTATTTTACTTTTCATTCTCTTCTGGTATTATTGAAGATATATTTTTAAGGTATAAGTGAATTTTTAAAATTTTAGTGTGTGTATGTATTGACACTAAATGGCAATATCTTTTATGGTCCTATTTTTAATATCATTTTAATGCTTTAACTGAAAAGAAAATCTTTTTAAAAAATTAATTTAATTTTATTTTCTGTTGATGAAGTTTTGTGTGACAAAAGTTTGAATTATTTATGTTTTAAGACTGATTTTTTAAGGAACTTCTTGAAATTATCAACAATGAACTTATGAAATTTGCAATAATAGATTTATAAAATTCTCAAATGGTTCTAGAGTATTTAATGATTTTACAAAATGCTTAAAATTCAAGAATTCAAAATAAAATTGAAATTAGATTAAAAAAGTCTTCAATATTTTTGAGAGATTTAACTTTAAGTGATTGAAATCAAAAATAATTTAAATAAATAAATAATCCAGTGAAAATCAGTGAGATTAAACTTTTAAACTTGAAGAATTAGAACAAAAATGTTTCTTTTAACATTTTATTCATGATTTCAATAGAATTGAACTTAAATTATGAACTTTAATTCAACTTTTTGCACACAAAAACTTCTTTTTATTTTTTAATTTGCTTATTATGTTTTTAAAGATATTTTTATCAACTTTATGATTAAAATTTCTCAAAATTATCTTTTGTGAAGTGAAACAAAGTATTGAAAAATTTGATTAAGTTTTAACATTTTTCTCTTGATTTTTAAGAACCAATAGAAATTTAATGAAATCTTTTAAACTTAAGAACAAGAAAATTTAAATAAGATTTTGAAAAAATCTTAGTTCTATCCAAAAAAAGTCAACTTGCTCTTTAAATCGCTTAACTTGCTCAAAACTCATTGTTTGCCTATCAAGTGGACAGTTGAAAAAGGACAGTATAAAGCACCTGAAGCTACCCAAATGAATTAATTGATTGTTAAACTTCCTTAGTCCCTAAATTTCTTCTTAATCCTTAAAAATAGCCCCTTACCACACTTCAAAGAAATGGTCAAAATAGCTTCCGTACTGACCACCATCACCCTTATATTCAATTATAGACCCTTATTAAATTCTAGCTTTTAACACATTTCAAGGGTCTATCCAAAGTGTTTTTGGCTCATGTCAAAAATAATTTTTGAAACTTTAAAATTCTTAAAATAATAAGTAAAATGTTTTATCTTCATTAATTTATTTCAAATTAATTTGTAAAGTATCAATAGCAACTAATCATACAATTGAACCTTAAGAACTTTAATTTCAAATTGAGTTATTAATCTGAATAATACAAGTCGGTTAATCGAATAATCTCGAATCAATAATTCAAGAAAAAAAAGGTTCAAATAATCCAGATCGATTTTGGAAGGTTTCAAGGTCAGTGACCAATCCAATTTTAGCAAACTTTTATTCACCAGTTGATCTATGAATCAAAAACTCATAAAAACTTAAAAATTGAATCAAATTTTTCAAACTTATTTTCACTTCCATCATTTTTTCAATAAACCAAAATGTTAAAAACAAAATTTTCATTAAAAAAATAAATCTTTTCTTGCAAAAAAAAAAGGAAATAAACCGTCCAAAAAAACACAAAATGTTTTCAAACTAGACGGTTATCATGGATGATAAAACTGCTTTCTCAAAAAAAATAATGAGTAAAATAAAAATAATAATAATAATAAAATAGTAATAGTAACAATATTGTCAAGAATTTATGTACGAATGAAAGTGAATTCTCAAAATAAAAAGAAACTAAAATAATTTATTTATCGGACATTTGGAGAATAAAGAGAAACGTCTATAAAAGAACTAAAAAGGAACAGATTTTGATTTTTTTCTTAATTTTTATTCAAATGTTAATTTAAATAATGAAGAAAAAAAGTCTCAAATAACCATCATGTCGTTTCTGTTTCTCATTGCTTGATGAGAATCTTGCCGGAAGAAAGTAAGTATGTAGTCATGCAATATGTTATAACCCAGAAAAAAAAGGGTTAAAAATTAAATAACAACAAAATATAAAAATTTAGAAAATTTCTCACAACACAGCAACAAGACGATCATTGTCGTGCATGCAAAGAAAGGAGGAACAGCAAAAAAAATTATTTTTGATGCACACACAAAAAAAAGATCATAAAGACAACGGAATTACAATGGGATTTTATTTTTTGTGTGTAGAAATTTCATCTTGAAGGATTTGATTGAGGACGTTCTACGATGTGGAAGAGATGATGATGAAGCAACAATAATAAGGGACGAAGGTTAAATTCAAGATAATTGGGAGAAAATATTCTAAGCATTGAGGAAGAAGTCAGGTCAAAAAAATTGTACCAGAAAACCGCCAAATGCCTTTATTTTCTTTAACATTTAACAGCTTCCGCGCATCAAGAACTTTATAGCTCTTTTTCGCGCCGAAAACAACAAATTACTTTACATAAATTTATGATGATGAAGATGATGGAAATTCAGTTACAATAGCTAGGCCTGTCTTTGTCTCTCACACCAAATATTTATCCATTAAAATAGAATATTTTTTTTGTGTGTATAAAAAAAATCTTTTTTTGGAAAAGGTTGCAACTGTGCGAGGATATAATAGAAAAGGGTTAAAAATTCTCTCCTTTGTTCGTCCTCAAAACCGTTTTCCAAAAAACTTTTCAGCGTTAAAAAAATTTTATTTTATTTTTTATTTATAAAAAATATTTTATTAAATTGAGTTTTTAAGGAAAGTTTGGAATTGAGGCAGGGGTTATTGATGCAAAAGGTGCATTTTGGTTTTGAGAAATTTTTATTGAGTTTGTATAAAGGATTAAAAAATTGTGTATGGGATAATTTAATAAATGTATATAAGAACATAGAATCATTCACACTCTAATGAAATGGAATACAATTGGTAATGAGATAAATATTACGAAATTGGCATGGAATCGATGCATTAAGACAAACTTTTTTGGGAATCAACTATCTAGGTTAGATGCAGTTTACTCTCAGTTTGAATCCTTATCATATCGACGATACTCTATTTAATGATTGAGAGATCGGTCTCTGGTGGGAATCGAACCCACGTCCTTACAAAAGAGATTCACATATATCTGGTCAGTTGCCTAACCACTCGCGCCATAAAGGCTTAACTCATGCACTGGCAGATTCGCCAATATATGGCTCTATACTCCAGATTCTTTTATGCTCACACATCACACTCAGTAATCTCAAATCAAGCATTTTACAGTTTTGGGTTTATAGTTTAGTAGGTTTATGTATAATAATTGAGGAGCTGTGTCTTTAGGTGTTGTGATTGTTAAATATGTTTAAACCAACAGTTTATAGTGGAATCTAAACTGCTTGCAGGAGTTTTGCTGAATATCAGCTAGACACAAACAAAACAGTAAGTTTGTGGCAAATTCAAATTTTATTACCTTGATAAACCTTGAAACTTTACACAAATTAATTAAGAGACAAAATCAGCAACAAATTAACATCCTATCAAACATTCTGGAGAATCTAGATTAGGAAAATCAGTTTACTCTTAGATTTTATTTGAATTCTTAAGATTCGAACTTAGATCATTGATTAAAACTGTAAGCGGTCATGTTTAAGCTATTAATTTGACTTTACAACGAAAAAATCATCTTACAATATAAAAATATAAATCAACATAACCTAAGACTCATCAAATCATTACCAAACAGCCCAAACTGCCTCAATCACCAAAACCCAAACTCTCAAAAATTCTCGCACCGAAAAAAAGAATTTCAGAAGCTGAAAAAAGATGATCGACGATGATGGAATTGTTGTTTTGGTTGCAATTTTTTAATCCTTTTATGTGATGTCTGGGCAAGAATGGAGAGGAAGGGAAATAAAAATTTTAAAATTTATACTTTTTAAAGGGTTGTTTTGTTGCTTTTACAGTTTTTTTACAATTTTTTTTGCACTAATGCCATGTGTATCATGTTCTTAAATGTTGATAAAAATTGTGCAACATTTTTTTCTTATTGTTGTATAAAATTTATCTTGATGGATTCAACAAGCATTATTTCAATTCCAAATGTCAGTTGTTGTATAAGAAAATTTGTGACCGACCTATCAAAAAAAAATCCTTTTTTTATTTCTTGTATTTTATTTACACAATGCTTTCTGGTTTTCTCTCCTTTTATTTCGTTTGTTTGAGAGGAAGTAATGCATTTACGGTAGCAAAAAAAAACTGAACTGAGCAGATGGGATCGAAAAAATTATCCTTTTATTGGATCATTTTGAGGGAGTAGAAATTAAATTTATTTTTTTTTTCAATTCCACGTAAGAATTTTTATTTTCAGCTTTTTGAGTTTTTTGAAAAGATCCATAAGAAATTCAGTTATAGGACAAAGAAAAAACTTTAATCTCGCGTGCTAAATCAGTCGAAAGAAATCAAATAAACTTTATTTAATTTAATATTTTGTGGCAGAAGGAATTGAGTTGAATGAATTGGGATTAAAATAATTTCTTTTCAATTTTTTATTAAGAAATTTTTAAAGCAAATAAAGTAAGATTCGTTGTAGACTTTATGTCTTGGTTGATCATTCAATTGATTGTGACATCATGTAAAATGGTTCATAGGAGGCACTCAAAAGTGTATTAAGAGTTTGATGTTAAATTTCACATGTCATTGAATGCTCAATTCGAGTTGTCAAGAGTTTTGAGGAAAACTGCATGAAACTGCATCAATTCAGGTTGTGCCTAGATTGAATCTTTACTTATGGATTTTGTTGGTTAATTGTAAATTGCAGTCTTGTGCGAAGCTTATCATATATCGACATCATTGGTCTTATATTTGAATGTTTGAGACTCTAGTTTCTATTAGGAATCAAACCCACATTTTCATAAATTGAAGGATTCGATGTGTTACTGAATCATTCGCCCACAGTGTCCCTGCATTAAGACATGCAGATTCGCCAACATATGAACGGAT